ACCGACATGCACTAACAGCCGACTATTTAGCATTTTTGGAATTCTTGGGTCAACGCTACTCGGAACGACGAATAAACATTCACCTGTCTGGCGAATTGGACCTGTCGAAATGTTGTACTCTCCTCTGTACTTTCCTGGTCTGTAGGGCAGCCGAAATGGGTTTCACAGGGAACTGTAAGAGCCGTCGCTGGACATATGGCTCTAGCCGCTAGCAGACGAGTCATAAAGCCTATGCTTAGGCGTTTTTTCTTTGTAGCATTTGATCCTAAAGAAATATGCACAGTGAACGATTGTTAGTTTTTCTGAGTTGGATTGACGACCTTAAAATTTTTATAACTTAACAAAAGTAATTTGCATGATGACCTCAAATTTCAGGATTTTACCTTGCTACGGGAGTAACTGAAATACACAACAGCTGCTTATCTTATCTTAACATTCACACTGAAATCGACAGACGCGAGAAGTACCTTCGTAAAAATAAAGTTTTTTTCGTCGATTGTTCTGCAACGCCCCAGTCGTTGGAATGTATGTAGCGCTCCATTTGCTGCTGGAATCTTATGCCTGATTTGTTTTTTTAAACTACCTCAGTAATCCTGGCTTGCAACGGATGAAACTGACCGATATGAGATTACCATTTCGGCACATCCAGAACACATGCATTACCTTGAACGATGCAGAAAAAACAATAGGAGAACATGTTTCTGACCAGTGCATAACATAGAGCTTTAGAATACTACGTAACTTCCTCTGATCGACTGAGACTAAATGCTTCAGCTGATATTTATGTAGCAATTTAAGTTCAAAGTAACAGTGCTTGGTTGTTATCTGCTTCGTCGCCAATATTCACAGAGGCAGTGCTCTTACTGGGAAATAACCAATGTTGTGATGTGGCACATTGAGGCATGAACCGCAACAGTCGAGTCAATGATGTTACTCTGTTCATGTATTCAGGTCTTTAGACAGTTTTTATTCAAACTGATGTACGTAATTCATTCCAGGCAAATTCATCCCTATCAAATTGCAGATGTAGCCCCTTACTAGCTAAACAAATTTATACTGTTCCAGAATCTACAAGAAAGCGTCAGCAATAATGCAAAGTGAAAAATAAGAACTTTTACTTCCAACTTTTTCATTCCGAATCTGTCATTCAGCTTAGCTCTTTGCCAGCGTTGAAAAAATTACTTTTTTACGGCAGGCTGAGACAAACAGAAGGATCAGTTGGCCTCTTTGCTGGCAGTTGTTGAACTATAAGCAAAATCTGAAGGTGCATTTTGTGGCAGCTGCTGGAAATATCCCTCCATACTTCTGGTCTCATGGGCAGGCATTAAAGCGCTTCGGCAGTGCCAGTATCATGTCTGAGAAATTCAATGATTACATATAACCCTGAAACAACTTTAGGACCAATACTATCAAGAACATGCAAACTTTCTACCGACCATTGCATAGCGATCCTTTATGGACCAGTTCGCGTGCTTCTGATTCTGACGGGATAAAATTAGCAATGAGTTTCGCGTGTTACTCCGACTAGCGAGAAAGAAGTAGATCTTCAAATCAGCCACCAAACTGATTGAGAATAATTTACCTGTAAATCATATATGTTATACTGTATTCCATATGGGAGCGTGCGAGAAGTAAGAGGAGCGGCATATGTACGCTGACTTGGATTTTGTGAATTCGGCGAACAAGTCATATTATTTATGCAGATTTGTCCAGTAGTATGCCACGGACATCAGTAGGATCTTTAAGAAGAAAAGTTTCGCATCTGCTGGGTCTGGAAATTTATTCGGTACTGTATAACATGTTACTAGATATTATGAAGAAACTGACTATTTCCCTTGTTTGTAAGAAAGCCTTGTATTCGTATGGTTTATTGTGTGTCGCTAAATTCCGTATCGAGTGACGGATGATGGTCATCCACTGCAGGGCAGTGCTACATGTATACACTTGCCATCGTTGCTTCTCTGTCGTTGTAAACGAATGAGGTTCTCGTTAATTCAGTTGATTGGTTTCTTTTTTTCTCAATTGTTGTGGAGAATATTTTAAAACTTTGCTCAGATGCAGCCCCCCAGAACGTCAAAGGCGGCTGTAGTGAAATAATGTCCTTTTATTCTTATTATACCAGATTGAGATCGAGATTTGTTTCAGAGGTATAGGACTATATTGTTTTCGCGCTTCGTCGATCACTAACCCTTTACAACAAATGTCACCCTCTGTTGGTATCATAACATTTTATGAGAGGCTTAAAAATGTTCCATAATAATACACTTGGCTTGCATACCCGACACTTTCCAGATGACTTTCTGTCAACCTATCAGAAGGTCTGCATGCATCCCGAGCTTAAGTGCGGGAATGTTCTGTTGTGCGTATATCCATGATCATTATCGTCGTCATGCGCTGTTGCTCGTGCCTTTCATTTTGTACATACGTACCGTTTGTCACAGCCCGCGATAGCTGGAATGTTTTCAGTTGCTGGCCATGATAGAAGCAGGTGATTTGCGCGGATATTGGGGTTGCGTTATTTGGCTGGCCGGGTTGC